AAAAAGGAAGTTCAGAAAAGGCTGTTAGAATAAATGCTGTTGGATCAGGTAAAAATTTTTAAGAAAGTAATATAGTAAATTTTATTTTTTAAAAAATTTAATCCTATGATTAATAATGATTCTCATTAAAGGGCTTGAATTAGAAGATCTTAATGTCGTGGTAAATTTTCATCATATATTTTACCATCACATAATCCATCACATATTAAAAATCCAATTCTCAATTGATTAATTATTTATTTAATTGGCTAGCTTCGCTCAAAACGTCTTGAAGGAATTGTCATACCAAAGGTTAGATCAGCAAAAGATGTCCAATTTGTTAGTAGGATGATAGATTCAATAGCTCCTGATAACACGTAAGATTATGTGGGTGAATTTTTGCTATAATATTTTTGGGTGTATTGGAAATTAGTATGTCTAATGTAAAAAATAAATATCTACATCTATATCTATATATTTTTAGCCGATCTAATATTCGTTTACTTGCATCGATAGAGAGTGCAATGGGAATTATGAATATTAAAGAAATTGTTACATCAGATTTAAGATTGGATGGTTTAATTGTATGTTATTTTATTTCATTATAATGAATGATGTTAAAATCTATTTTAATTTTAAATATTTTAAAAAAATTAGTTTGCAGCTGAAGATTATTGTGCTGATCTAGGTAAATTAGTTGATTAATCAATTTATTATTCCTCCTTTTATTTTATAATCATCAATAATCAATTCTTTCCATTTAACTAATCAATGTTTTTCTTTTTAAATCATTTGATAGGAATGATTAGGACACCATCTTGTAAAGAATTATTGTTAGCACGTCAAGCAATAGTAGTAGCTGCAAGTGCATATGGTTTACAGGCCATAGATATGGTAAATTAAATAAATGATTTTTTTTTCTTTACGACATTCAATTAATTTTAATTATTTTCAATAGGTTTGCCTTGATTTTAGAAATAATGAAATTTTAATGAAAGAATGTAGAGAGGGTCGTGAAATGGGATTTGTTGGAAAAGTAAGAAACTTATTTCTTTTTGAAGAAGTTATTGATTAGCTGAATGAACTAGTTGATTGTTATTATTATTTGATTTTTTCTTTAAAACAAAAATGATAATTATTATTATTATTAATTTTTGATTTTGCTTTTTTAGCAAGCAATCCATCCAAATCAAATTGATATTATACAAAAAACATTTTTACCGGATGAAAAAGGCATGTAAACGAATTAATTAATTTATAAAATAAATAAAATAAAATATTGATTACGTCTCTCAACTAATGATATATTTTTTTAGATGTTGAAAGAGCCGCCAGAATTATTCATGAATATGGGATTTATTCCAAAAAAGGAATTGGAGCATTTGATTTAGATGGAAAAGTGTAATTAAGCGAACATAAAATATCTTTATTATATTATAAAGATTCTATTTAAATGGTTTTTTTTATATATATTTATTTTTTAATAGGATTGATCTTCCGGTTGTTAAATGGGCTGAACGTTTAATTACTAGAGCTAAATCTGCAGGAATTAAAATTCCAGAGATTAAGAGTGAAAGTCAAGCTTAATAATAATCATTATATTAACTGCCAATAATTGAAAATAATGACAATTAGTAATTACAAAAAACATTGATAACAATATCAAAGATATATAAAGTAATATATAGAGAAGAATTATTATTATTTATATATTACTTGGTGAAATCTTTTCTTTAATATTTTGGTATTCTAATAATTTTCGTTTTTTAATTTTTGTTATAACGTTATATTAATTAATTAATTGATTTGACATTAAATATTTATATATATATATATATATTGAAGTTGGGATTTATCCGAAATCAATTTTGAATTCATCAGTACATAAATAAACTAGATGTACCACGCCTACATAATGTATATTTGCAATATTTAAACAATATTTAAATATTTTTCATCTCGTTTTTTTTAATAAATGCTATTTTATATATTGTATATGTACTATATATATATATATATATATATATATATACTAATTAATTAATTAATTAATATTAATTAATATACAGCTAAAACAAAATATGGGGATGAAGTGGCAGTTAAAGTTCAATATCCTGATGTTTATAGACTGTTTAATGTGGACATTTGGACAATGCAAACAATGTCAAATATTGTTTCTTATTTCTTTCCGGAATTTGAATTGACTTGGATCATAACAGAATTTAAACAAAACTTGATTTCTGAATTTGATTTTGAGAAAGAAGCAAGAAATGGTGAACTAACTAAACAAAGATTCAGACATCATGCAAATGAAATGTCCATCCCAAAAATCTACTGGGATTTGACTACAAAAAGAATTTTAACAATGGAATTCATACATGGTGTCAAAATTAATGACATTGATGGATTAAAAAAAATTGGTGCAGATCCTAATTGGGTTCGTAATATATTATTAGAAATATTTGCAGAAATGATATTTTGTCATGGAGTGATTCATTGTGACCCACACCCTGGAAATGCTCTGGTGACAATTTCTCCTAAAACCAAAAAACCTCAAATTGTTCTTTTAGATCATGGATTGTATAGAGAATTGTCTGATGATTTTCGTAAAACTTATTGTGATTTATGGAAAGCTCTTGTTCTGAACGATTCCAATGCTTTGAAAGTTGTGTCTGAATCTTTGGGTGTCCCTCAATATATTCAGTTTCTTCCATTGATTTTTGCTCAACGTATCTCCGACTCTTCCACACCTCTAGGTGAAGACATGTCTCTTGAAGAAAAAAATATTGTTCGTGATCAACTTCATAATATAACTTTAAGTGATTTCTTTGACTTTCTAGAAGCATTACCACGTGATGTATGTGTTTTGCCTTTTCTCATTTATTTTCTTACAAAAAAAAAAATAAACCATAATATGGATTATTTACATATAAATTATTTTTTTAAAATAGATGTTACTTGTTTTTCGTACTATTAATCTAGTTCGAGGTATACATCGTCAACTTGGTGGTAGTTCGATTGAAAGTTTTAAAATGAATGCATATTATGCTATTCGAGGATCATGGTGTGAAACAAGAGAGGAAGAATTTAGCAGAGTTGATCATGCAAATAAACTTGGAATAAAAGGTGATGAATCTATGATTGGCCCAGTACACAAATGGTACTTGTTTGGTAGCACTCCGAATTTTGCTAGAAGTTTAGGTTTCATCAAGGATCTTATAGTTTTAACTGTGCGAATATATATGGCTGAAATTGCTATTAGGATTTGGAGATGGTGGTATTTTTTTTCAAGATCAATAGGATCACCTTTAGTGATCAGTTTATAGAAAACAATGAGTATTTAAATCAATAATACATTGCATGCATATATAAATTTTTTTAATAAATTAAAATCATTCTTACATATTGCTTTAATTTAATTGTAATCCATCCATATCTGTTTTAAAGTTACTGCTAATATTTGGTTTTAAATTTGCAAAACTACATAAATAATATTATGTGAGAATTTTCTTCATCTTGTGAATACAAAAAAAGTAAGATGTTGTACATAACTTTGGTTGCTATTATAACAATAATAAAGTTTTTTGTCATTATATAATAAAATCATTTTGTTTTCTCTCAAAAATTCATCATGCACATTGAAAAAAATTCTGTCCATTTTTATTAGAACAGCTTTATTTAGATATGAACTAACAGGTTATTGAATGAGCACATGCAACGTGCATATGGTGAATTAAAAACAGATCAATTGTAAGGATATAAAAAGGGTAAATATAAATTTTTTTTTTGAAAAATAATTACATGAAATAGCTTTCATATCAGAAAAATATTTATATCAAGATGCACAACAAATTTTCGAAAGAACCAGTTGAACTGGTTTGCTGCAAGGATTATACAGAACTGCTGAGCTCATAGATAAGTGGTAGCCAGAATCCACAGGGTATAATCATCCCAGTAGCATGTTATTATATTGAGCAGCTTTATTTATTTTTATTCAATTTGAAATTCACACGCGTGAAATTCAAATTAGCCAATCAGAATTTTGCATCCCAAATTATTTACACAATTAATTGGTTGTAAGTTTTTTTTTTTTTTGTTAGAAATAGTGATATCAGCCATTAAGCCGGCCAAGTCTATAAACTCTTAACCGGCTAAGAATTTCATAAATATCAATTATTTTTATTTAAGAAATGAATATTATGAATACTATTTTTACCATAGCAGCAAAAATCCAGCCACTAAGAAACCGATTAAAATTGCCTGTTGTTGCTTAAAAAATCAATCTCATTCTCCTTCTTTAATATTTGTTCTATTTCTTTTCTTTGTAAATACATTTCCAACTGATGAAAACAACCTCTTGGATGGCACTGAGCTTGTTTGGTATTGCCAAGTGAATTCTTGCTTGCATATCAAGATTTGGTAGAACTACTCCACTGAACAAGTGGATCTTCTTCCAATAAAACTTTTTGCAATGTTAAATAGAAATCTATATCTGATTTTTTTTTTTGTGGATGTTTACAGTACCTAATATTAAGCAATTGAAAAGAGTTGGCTAATGAGATTGTCAACTGCTTTAATATTAAAAAAGACTTATTTTTTATGTGTAACATTTTAATGATTTTGTGGAACAAATGAATGTCCACCATGCAATCTTTCATTGAAAAGATGGGGTTGATTTTTTTATATGGAGAAAAACTTGGTATGCTATAAAACCCCAATTGTATTATTTATAAATAAATATTCAATTATCCATTTTCTAGTCATAGAATACATAATTTAAATGATTACATTGATGACGATGATGATACTAACAAAGGCACTTGGGCCACAGATGGTATTATTGCCCCTCCAAAAATAGCATCTTCTGCTGTCCAGATGTATGATTATATGGGTACAAAATATATATTATCAATATATATACTTGTTTTCAATCTACAGCTAACAACAACAACAATAATATTTAATGTGCATTAGGAAAAAAGAATCAGATATTTGTAGCATTGAAATGTTGATGTGAAATTTGCTGGATGTCCACCATTAAATGGTAGAGCTCACGCGCTCTGGTTTAATTTTAAAAGATATGTGAGGGGCTATGGCCACCAACATTACCAGGAGTCCCAAAAGAATGTGGAGAAATGATGCAAATATGCTGGGATGATTCAACTAAAAGACCACCATTATAGAACTAGAAAATTT